CCAGCTTCATCCGCAAGGTCACCCAGAAGGACATCCAGTCTAATTAGCATATCACGCTTTTATTGTTATAGATAGTATATTTTATATTACCATTGGATTACTTCTCCTATCAATTTCAGAACATATGATGACTATCTCATGAGAAGTATCCCATGATCCCACTGAGGAGAAAAGGAGATGCAGAGATCCCGAGTGGGGGACTTGAGGTCACACAGCCCAGGTCGGGGCTGGGCTGGGCTGAGAGAAGTCCAGGTCACACTGATATCATTTCCAAGATTTTACCCTAAAAACATCCTAATTCTCTCAGTACTTTACTATAAAGATCTCACCACAAGGTTATCGTATGCTATAAATCCCCTAATTCAAATACTTCGCAAAGATGCGCATCACCGGTCATGTGACTATCACCACTGGCTTTGTTCATTTCAAAGCGTACATTCTTAGACTCCTACAGAAGATGACACTGGACAACCAGTGTTTCATGTCCTATTCACTCACACTCCTGTCATGGGGGGAGAAGAGTTTTATAGAGAAACCTACCTGGTTTAGGAGCAAGGATTAAAGAGAATGGGGACAGTGTGCTTCCCTTTTAGAAATTCAGACATTAGGCTCGGGTCTGGGAACCAATAATGTCCACACTAATTGTTCAAGAGTGACACCAAAACACACATTAATCTCAGGAACATCAGGAGTGATTACTAAGTCAAAAGAAGGAAAAAATATTCCTGTAGTTTGTGGGCCAGTAGGATTTGAAGTGTCAAGACTTTGATGCATGAAACAATACCAAACGAGTACTGGGTTCCACAAAAGAATCTGCCTATGTTATTTCATTTAACCCATACACCTGCCTTCTGAGGTCTTCTATACCCATTGCAGACGGTGAAGCTGGGCTTGGAAAAGGGCCTTGCTGAAATCACAGCCTAGTTGCGTGACAAAGCTGAGAGCTGAAGCCATCCCAAAATAGACGACTGACACTCAGGAATCTGAAACATGTCAGCATTCCGATCCCTCCTCAAAAGTCAACGTTTTGAGTTTTTCTTTGCCGCATTCTTGTAACATGAAAGTGTGAAATTATTTCAAAATTTAAAAAGTTAACCTAGAATTATTACCCATTGCTTCTAGCAGGAAAACAGGAACTAGGTTCCACTCAGGGGCAAGGAGGGGATGAAGATGTTGCTGTCAAGGCTTGGGAGGCACGGGTGCTGCTGAGATAGGTTTCGGGGGAAGGTGGAGGGGAAAGTGCTGTGTGGTCATGATCTAGATGTCAGTCAGCCAACAGATCCCGCTCGTCAGTACCTCCTCTGTACTGGTGTGAAGGCAGCCTGAGGACCCCCGCCCCCACCTGCATTCCGATGCATATGCTTGCTAGCCCCAACCCCCTTTCCACTTGTGCCCTAGCTAGCCTTGCAAAACCTGTTTCCCTGAATGCTTATCTTAACAGGAGCTATAACCATACACAGCCCCACAACGGGGTCTGACTGCCGGCGCCAGATGGGGTCTTGGTCGCTATCTCACTTCCCCGCTTACAACCGTCACAGGGGCTGCAAAAGCCCATGAAAAGTCCGGAAGCCTGGTCCATATTTGGGAGACAAAGAAACTAGGGGGATAAAAGGGAACACGCCCCCCCCCACCCCATTCGGTGCTCAGCTTTGGGAAACTGATTCCCCTGAGTCACAGCACCGGTGCTCCTGCAATTAAAGTGCATTTTCTGAATCTTCCGAGTGCCTGGCTGTTTTGTGTTCCGCCGCCTGGTAACTTCTGTAACATTGGTCCTGGCAGTATGAGGTGACTAAGTGTGTAAGGGGAGGCGAAATAAGCCTATACAATACTATATGCACACACAGTGCTGTATGAGCACTGGGGACTGCCTTCCGGGGGTTAGGGGACACTTCCTGGAGGGAGTGACATTTGCTTTTGGGGTCTCAAAGAATGAGGAGGAGTTTTCCTGGCAGAGAAGAGGAGAAGGGTCATCTAGGCAGTGCATATTTCCAAAGGCATGGAGGTGGGAGAGATCATGGTGTGTCCTGTACATGGAAGACAGTTGTCTGTGCTGACGCCTGGGCACGATGGCGCTGGCGGGGGTAGCCGTGAGATGATGCTGGAGAGGAGGGTGGGGACGAGGATTGTGGGTCTGCCAAGGGTGGCCTGCATTCTGTGCATGACAGGAAGCCAAAGGTTTTTAGGCGGGAGTGAGGAGGGCCGTGATTAGACCACATGTGTGGCTTGGGGAAGACGGATTGGAGAACACCAGAGAGATGGCAAGGAGGCCAGTGGGTGTGAACTCTGCCTGGAAGACCCTCTGATCTAGTTCTCCGTTTTCTAAGTGACACTTCGAGGTCTGGAAATGTTGAGACTTGTACAAGGCTACCCAACTGGCCAGTGACAGAGCTGGGACCAGAATGAAGACCCCCGTGGATGCTGCAGGACCCTGCCTGCTCAGCCTGCACAGAAGATGAAGGGCTCTAAGGTCTGGGCTCCTGGGAGCAGTGCATCTGCTTGGAAACAACAGGAAGATTAGAAAACCATCGCTGGTAAAGAGGGAAGAAATGCCAGCTGTTTTATGTACCAGGTAGCTGCCCAAAGCAATAGAGCTTACTTATTGAGTAAAACAAAGAAAAGGACAGACGAGAAAATTGAGGGAAACTGTCAATTGAACAAAGTAATCAAATCCTGGCCTTTCACACACCTGCTGAAATGCCGAGACGCGAACGAAGTCCTTTTTGAGGAGCCTGGATCAATTCTTATCTAAGAGCAGAGGGTCATGTTCTCCTAAAAGAACGCCAGCTGCCAAGGAAATACTTCATCCACAGAACTATTCGCACAGTGAGTCCCCAAAGACGCCCCACCAGAAGTAATCTAGGAGGACGAGCAAAGTCACTGAACTGAGCTGCTAACCCTGCCCCTGCCCCTGTCATTGAGGACAGGGACCTATGTCTGTTCTGTTTTCCAGAAAACTCAAATCTCCAAGTGAAGCAAAAATTCTCAAGCTCTGAAAAACCAAACAGCCCCCTCTCCTCCAGCCCTCTCATCATTTCACCCCAAACACAGTGATCTACAAGGAGAATTTGTTTTCAGGGTAGAAACATTTTCTGGCACTGCATCTGTCCCAAAGGAGCCCGGAGACTTCACATCGGGGCATGGCCCGAGTGGCGAGTCAGCAGGATCTCGGGCTGCCGTCCTCCTCACCACAGGACTCGGGCCGAGCCCCTCGGTTTAAATTCAAGTGAGCGGCAGGCCCAGGAAGAAGGCGCCTGCGCTCCTCAACACCGCACTTCATATTGCACACACCACCCCATGAAGGGAAGCAGAGCACTGCTCTCCTGTCTATCCGTGGCTTGTGGTGCAAGGTAACCCTTTAACTTCCTCTGGGTCACTCCTGCACCTGAGGGAATATCTCGGGTGGCTGCATCCCAATTGCCACCATCCTGACAAAAAGCCAGCCTTGAGGCTGGCGCAGGGAGAGGGGAAATCATGTCCTCAGTGAAATACTGAGCCACTAGGTCACCAATGCTGGGGACCGTCCAAACACCGAACACTGTAAACACACAGACCCTCACTGTTTACACAACGACATAGGGGTTTCTGAGAGTTTCAATCAAAAGCATCCTAGTACTTTCTACCTTTTAAAATAAAAAAACTGGTTTCCAATGACTAAGCTATGTTACTTATTTCAATGTGATCACGCTTTATAAAGATTTAGTCCTCTGTCGGGGGGTGGGGGGGGGGGGGGAGAAGAAACAGAGCATGCGTTTGGCCACAGATGGGAGAAAATCAGCCGCAATAATAAATTCACGGAGGTGGAGTGTGTCGTCACACGCGGAGCAGGATGTGTGATCGGAAGGTGTGTGTGGGGGAGCTCATACCATATGTCGTTCGTCTGCTGCGGGCCCGCTCCCATGTCGGGAGCAGCGTGTTCCTCCCAAACAGCCCGGATGCCCCCCCCCCCGATGCCAGCGCGCTCTGCCAGGCCCACGGGACTTACCAGGTACTGGAGTCGCTGGCGCTCCGTCTCGGGGGTGAATTCCGAAGACATGGGGATGATTTCTCCATTCCTGACGATGATGGCCCTGAAAACAGCGAAAACGCATGATCAGCAGCCAGTCTCCGAGGTGCCCCGGTTCTGTGTTCACTCCCAGTTTGGCTGAGAACACACATCACATGCCAACGGGAGACCCTCTCCTCCAACCCCCAGGGCAACGGGCCCCGTGACCAACTCAACCGCACACAGCGCAGGTGTGGGTTCTTTAAGAACCTCACGCTCCGGTGAGCTTACATGCACTTTTTCTGCTCGCTGGGCCCACACATTAACGCCCAGCTCCGGGGCTCACCACGTAATAGATGCTCAGTGAATACGTGGGTGAGTACGTGGGTGACGCAACAGAGGCTCACTGCAGACTAGCATTCTCGGATGGAACTCTCTGGGATAACGGGAATGTTACCCTGTGCAGTCCTACCTGGCCGCCACGGGGGGTACTAGCGTTTGAGTTGTGGTCAGTGCCGCTGAGAAATGGAATTTTTAAATTTTATTTTAATTAATTTAGCTTTACGTTCATGCAGTGACAAGTGGCTAGTGTGTAATGCAGTCAACAGCACAGCTCTAGATCCTGGCTGCTCAGTGTCTGCGAGCCAGTAGTACCGGCCTCACCTTGGAACTTGCTAGAAATACAGACTCTCAGGTGCTGCCCTGGACTTCCTGTATGGAATATGCATCGCAGTGAGAGCCCAGCCACCCACAGGCTCATCACACTCTGAGAACGCCCCAGATTTGAAGCTCCTGAGTTTCAGGGTGACATCCTGGGCCCAGGAAAATTCATTCTCATCCCACGTGCAAGTTCAGTAAATTCACCCCCGCCCCCCCCGAAATGTGTCCAGGAGCTACTGCTGATTCCACGACTTTTGAGAGAACAGAGCTTCCCAAAGCAGATGTCTCAAGGAGGGGCTGCAGGGCCCGTAACCGTGGAGCCACCTCTCCGAGGCCCATTGCCGGCGGGGCCTCCTGTTCTTAGACCCTGTTCTGAAGTGCTCCCGACAGCCACTTCCCAGCGAGCGACCGGTTCTGGCGGGAGGCTGCCATTCCTATGACAAATGGAAGTGGCTGGGGAACTGCATCCTGCTCAAGCCCAAAGCTCCCTGTTAGCAGGCGGCCAGAGAGGCCTGGCACACTCCTCTGGGGAGGCCACAGGCACGCCAAAGGCCCGTGGACACACCTGTGGCCTGAGGACACGCCCAAAACCCCCGGACACCACGCACCTGTGCTGAGCTCAGCTCCAGGGGAGGCCACGTTCTTTGTGCCAAGAAGGCCCTGGCACCGCTCCCTCCCCTCCAGAGGCTGTTCCCAGACTTAGAAACAGTCCCTACAAATGGCCGCAGCTGTGGAAACCCCGGCCCCAACCCCTTCCCACCTGAGGACAACAAAAATCTTGGGGGCTTTAGGGAATTTTCGGAAGAAAACGGTGGACGCTGTGAGAAAATGGATTAGGGAATTTTCGGAAGAAAACGGTGGACGCTGTGAGAAAATGGAAATGCTGAAGGGGCTGGCTCTGCGAAGGGGATACAGGACACATTAAAGAGCCCTTCTCATAAACCCAGGGCCACTTGTAAAATGCAATCACCCGACCCCTCCCCCGCAAAGTGGCATCCACTATTCACCAACCAGTGTGAGGCCATTCCAACTGTCCTCATCGCCAGTGGAAAATAACTACCCTCAGGGAGCAGGGAGTCTGACAGGGTGGAGAGACTTGAAGGGAAGGTCTAGGTTGGGGCCTACACTTAAAGTAGCACAAAGGGCCGTGAGAACTTGGGGAACTAGAGCAAAAGTCCTTATGTAATAAATGCCAAAGGCAACCTTCTGTTCCAAAATGTTGCTTAAAGCTAGTCTTAACCCTTTCTCGTCCCTTTCTCTACGTGGCCCCTGGATTCCAGCTTCCACGTGCAAACCAGGAAAGGTGGGCATTCAGGAGGGGAGGAAAAGATACTGAAAAAGAGAAGGGAAGTGAGACCGGAGTGTCAGAAACCCGGGAGGCGGCGGCGGGAGTCCTTGGGGAGGACCCGCGGAGGAGCCACACCCGGGTCAGGGCCCAAGTTCAGGAGGTAGGGGGCCTGTCTGTTCTGTTCGTTCTTCTGTTCCAAACGCGTGGCATGTGCCCGCCGCTCAGCAGGAACCCGACGAACAGTTGCTGAATGAAGGAACAGATGAGACAACTTGGGAGAAACTTTTCCTTGAATTTGAGGCAAAAAGAGAGAATGAGAGGCAGTAGATGCTCACTTACACAGAACGCGGGGTCAATGCCACAGAGCCAAGAGGGCTCCCCCGGAAATGCACCTGCTCCCTCAGCTATGGAGCGCGTCCCTCCATCCCCTCCGTCCTCAGTCTTCCCTACATCAGTTACTCCCTCTCTGTATTCCCAGCCTCTCTCTGCCCGGAGTTCAACACCACACTCAGAGCACCTTGTGTTTAAAATCAAACAAAACCCAAACTAAACGAACGACACTCTCCTAACCCAAAGCCCACCTCAGAGTCTGCTCCTCACGCCCCACGGATCCCTCAGGGGTGAATTCATTCTCGCTCCTCTCTTTGCCCAGTTGCTCTTCCGAGTCACCACGTGGCCTCTTGGTTGCTATACCCACTGGGCACGACCACACGCCCGGCACCTGGGCAGCATTGGACAGTCTCTCCCAGTCCTGGCACCTCCCTCCCACCCCCAGGACATCACATTTTGTTCTTGAGGACTTAACTGTCTGCCCTCCACTCCAGCCGGTTAACTCCTAAGGCTAGCCGGTTAACTCCTAAGGCAAGAACTCTGTCTGTCTTGCTACACACGGGGCCAGGCTACTGTAAGCGGGACTGGCTACACGATTTCCAGGGTCCAGTGCAAAAGGAGAATGCAGGGCCGCTTGTTAATGAGAATTTTAAAATGCTGGCAGCAAAGCCTCGCACCAACTGTGGAGCCCTTCGAGGGGAGGCCTGGGTGGCGCACACAGGTCTTGCACCCGTGAAGCCGGCTCCGATAGCGTGCCCTGATATTCACTAAATAAGCAAACGGCTTCGACAGCTCCATGTGCTGATGATTCCAAATCTCCTTTCCTGCCCACACGTCTCTGCTCCACTCCCGCCTGGAACGGCGGCCTGCGGACAGACATCTCGTGGCTATTCACCGGCACCTCAGCCTTAGCACGTTTCAAACCGAATGAAAGATGCCACCGCCACCAACCCCCGAAGCTGTCCTGTTGCGGGGGACACCACCACTTCACTTTTCCCCTGGCTGCCCATCCAGACCAGGGAGCCGTTCAGACATCTCACCCTGCAAGTCCTAACAGGCACCACGTACTGCAAACTCCACCTTCTCACCAGCACGGGAATCTGTGCCCCCCCCCCCCATTCCTACTGTCCCTGCCTTGATCCAGAGCTTGTCCACAGGACTCAGGAGCCATCCCGCTCTCCCTGCCCCAGGCCCACCCTCTGGCCCATGAGCCACATGGTCACAAGGTGGTTTTGAAGCATGATTCTCATCCCCTCCCTGAAGCCCCTGGATGCTTCCCAGAATTCCTGACTTCCTTCCCTGTCTAGTTTTTGCCTCTATTTCTAGCTTTAGCCCCACTCTCGCCACTCCTTACACTTCTACCTTTCGCTTCCTCTGGCCGACCCATTCCTCTCTGAGAATGGTCCCTTTGCCTTTGCCTTCCTGGTTTTCCTTCCATGCCCTTCTCTGTGACCCACCCATGGCGCTGTATGCCCAGCTGTGCCGCAGCCCCAGGTCCTCACTGCCACTGCTGGCTGCCACGCTGTCACTGACCACCTGAGCATCTCTTCCGGGCAGAGCCCAGTTCTTGTCTCTGGACCTCCAGCGCCCAGTGCCCGACCCGTGGCAGACACAGTAACCATTTGCTGATGGACATGTGATTAAATGAAGAAAGAGCTTGACTTGGGTAGGTGAACAATTTATCCACAGCGAAGGCCCCAAACAAAATCTTTTCTTAGTAGCAACATTATTATCTGTAATTGTCTAACCGTATGTATAGTCTGAGCCCTCAATGCCCATAATGCCTTTTCATTGATTTTACAAAAAGACAATGGACCTAAAAAAAAATGTACTGGCTGAGTCACCACTAAAAAGTGACTTGGGAGATAAGGGGGCACAAGGCAGGGCTGTGGACTCAGCGGGCGGGGAGGTAGCCCCCTCTATGCTCACTCTGTTTTAAAATTTCAAACTCACACACAAGGCGGTATCAGCATCCAATCCCAATCTTCACCGCTGGGGTAACCCTCGCTAATGACCTTCTCCAATAGGTCAGTACATCCACATCCATCTGTGTGCAGACATCCCTCACGTCTGTTTGAACTATCAAGCTCTCCCTTTATGAGACATCGCGGGTTAAAGAGGACAGTGCTTTTGGCAAACTCTTCGGTCCCTAAATCACGATGCCTCTTCCTCCGTGATGCCCGGCTTCCTTTTGATCTTCCCCTCTTTCATCCTCTGATCCCGGGGTCAGTCTGTCAGAGGGCCGGTCCCCAACCTGGAGCAGGGCAGTGGAGGGAAGGGGTTCAAAGGGAACGGAGGGCATGTGAAGGCGACCGCCACTGACGCAGGGGAATGCCTTCGTTGCTGCGCTCTGTCATGACGGGACCCTGGTAGACCTCGATCTTCTACTTTATTGTTTCATGAAGTGCTTCCCCTAAGGCAGTGATGGCGAACCTATGACACGCAAACTCATTTTTTTGGTTGATTTTTCTTTGTTAAATGGAATTTAAATATATAAAATAAATATCAAAAATATGTCTTTGTTTTACTATGGTTGCAAATATCAAAAAATTTCTATATGTGACACGGCACCAGAGTTAAGTTAGGGTTCTTCAAAATGCTGACACGCCGAGCTCAAAAGGTTCACCATCACTGTCCTAAGGAAATCTTAAGAAGAAAGCCAGCTGTGGCAGCAGTGAGCATGGAGGAGAGTTAGGTTCCTGCCCTGACCCTTCTCTCGGGGCCTCAGGGCCTGACCTGTGGATATGACTCTGGTCAGAAATGGAACGATCAGAGTTTGGCCAGAGATGAAGGAAGGAAGTTGCTAG